TCTCAGGAATCCCGGAATGAGAAAAGAACAAAAGCAGGAATTAAAAAACTATTTCAAAGAAATGTAAATTAAAAATATTTTTAAGAAAAATGGCTGATAATCTCCTAAATTAGACAGAAGACATGAAACTAAAATCTAAGAAAATGAGCAAAACCCAAACAGTGGAACCCCAAGAAATCCATCAAGACATGTGGTATGGACTAACGTATATCCCTCTAACCCATTCATATGTTTCAGTTTTAACCATTATGAAATTAGACCTGGTGCCTTGGGAGATACATAGCTTGAGTCACCAGGTTAGGACGGTCATGATGGGGTTAGCATACTTAAGAAAAGAGATACCATAGAGCTTGCATTCTCCATTCACACATAAAAGAGAGGTTATGTGAACACACAGCCAGAAGGTGGCCATCGACAAACCTCCAGGAAGATGGGCTTGCCCAGAACCTGACCACGCTGGTGCCTTATATTGGAATTTTACCCTACAGACCTGTGAGAAAATACATTATGGATGTTTAGCCATTGTCTAAATCTAGAGTTTGGTGCATTTTACACAAGACAATAAAGCAGGATTCGTAAGGAATAATACTGGACTTTATCAAGATTAAAACCTTTTGTTCTAGTAGAGATCCTGTTAGGGTGATGAAAAGACAAGATATAGAAGAGGTGAACGTATTTGTAAACCACATATCTGACAAAGAACTTGTATTTAGAATATACAAAGAACTCAAAAGTCAACAGGGAAAAAAACCAGAAAATTGGCAAATGATAATGAACAGACATTTCACCAAAGGGAATATGCAGATGGCAAATAAGCACAAGGAAAAAATGTTCATCAGTAGCTGTGAGGGAAATGTAAATGTAAATCTGAGCTATCAATACTACCCATCTCTTAAGAAAGCTAGTTAATATAAAATGCTGTAAAAACATCATATTTTGGAAAGGGCTCATCTACATTGCTTGTGGGAATGTAAATGGAACAGCTCCTCTGGTAAGACAGTTTGATAGGTTCAACAGAAGCAAAACATAAACAAGAGCAAAACGTAAGCCCTATAACCTAGCAAGCACTCTCCTGGACCTTTATCCCAGAGAATGGAAATTTTCGATCCCACAAAACACTGTGCACAAATGTTCACTGTGGGATTATTTGTAGTCTCCAAAGACTGGAAACGCCCAAAATATCCCTCAAAAGCTGCCCAGATGAACAAACTGTAGCATTTCCATCCTAGGGATCCCTACTCAGTGATGAAGAAGCCATGGGCGCCCGGGTGGCTCAGTTGGTTGGGTGACTGCCTTCGGCTCGAGGCATGATCCTGGAGTCCCGGGATCGAGTCCCACGTCGGGCTCCCTGCTCAGCGGGGAGTCTGCTTCTCCCTCTGACCCTCTTCCCTCTCGTGCTCTCTCTCATTCTCTCTCTCTCAAATAAAGAAATAAAATCTTTAAAAAAAAAAAAAGAAGCCATAACGTTGTGATACACAAAACAAGGATAGATCTCAGGGGTATTATCCTGAGTGAAAACAAATAAAAAACCAACATCATAGGTGACAGCTGCTGTAGGATTCCCCTCATATAACAAAATGCCATCACTCCCAAAATGTAAAACACAGTGGTGATTGCTAGGGGCCCAGTTAGCTGGGGCAAGGGTGGGTAGCATAAGGGAAATCTTTGTGCTTCTGTAGTAGTTCCATACCTGGATTGTGCTGTTGAATATATAAATGTACATGAGAAAGTGACAGAACTGGACAAGTCCATCATACCACCATCAGTTTCCTGGTGTTAATAGTGTTCTGCAATGATGTAGAATGTTACCCTTGGGCAAAATGAGCCAAGGGTGACTCTGTGATGGGATATTTCTTTACTACCTGAAGCTTCCTGTGAATCTATACATGTACCTAAGTCCCTCCCTTCCTATATTATTGCTCTACCTGTCGACACTCTTAAGAAGAGTCCCCTAAAGCTATCAGGCCCACCCAGGCTTCTTGCAGCTCCAAGCCTCCCCAGGACCCTTACGTATGGATTAGGGCAGGAGCGAATTAGGCAGGAGGATTCTAATGTTGGCCAGTGACTGGGCAGGTGCTGGGCTGTGATGATCTGTGCCCTAAGTGGCAGAGATGGCCACGTTTGGGATAAGACAGAAGGAGAATGCAGACTGCTGCCCTCCCGGAGCTGATGGTTTCCAATTGGGAAGGAAAGGACAGGACAAGGACCTGGCTCACGGCCTGCCCTCCCTCCTCTGGATAGCATCCATCTCCTGCTCTTATAGATCCACTCCCCAACCCTGCCGTCTCCTGCATCCTGCTCACACAGCCATCCTCCCAAAGTTGCCAGCATTTTCCAGATGAAGGACTGGGGACTCAAGGGGTGAATGGCTCTGCCTCGCACCCCTAAAGTGTGAAGGACCCCCGAAGTTGGGACCCAGCACCTCCAAGAACCTGCTGTGTCCATAAACGTGTGTGGTAAGTGCGGACTGAGCAGTTGATCACTGGAGGTTATCAGCCCTGGTATCACATAAGTGATACACTTCCCCCTCAAATCCAAGTAACCTGGACTCCACCAAGATCCCCACTGGCTCCTGACAGCAGCAGCCCTCCTATAAGGTCAGATACCATCCTTCTTAGAGATGTTAACCTCTCTCCTCCCAAGTCCTGCTCATTTTCGCTTTCAATAAGAGACAGCTTTTTCATGGCTCTCATCAGTTTATGCCCAGGTGCCATGAGCACAGTGCCTTGAGCATCCTCACGGGACCATGTTTTTAGGCTCTCTTCCACCTCAGTTATAGCCACAGGCCGACCCCAGCTCAATGATATCCACAAGGCACTTGAGCTCCCACATCATCCCTGGAAGTGAAAGGGACAGTGTCCAGGGAGAAGAGGAACCTGTACCCTTATTTCCTCCTTCCTTTGGTCCAATTTATGGCAGAATTCCAGCTCTGCTTAGGGGTAGCGACATTCTTCCATATCCACAGACACCCTTGAGTTTTCCATATGCACCTGTTTCCACTGTTCCTACTTGGCTCCTTCTCTGCTTTACTCTGTCCATCCACCGTTCCACATGGAGCAGCCAGTAGGAATCTGTGTATCCCTCATATTCTCAGTGCTTCTGTACATCAGAGCAGAGAGCCCACCCGCCTGGCTCCTCACTCCAGTCTGTAACTGCCACCCTCACATCACAGGAACTCACCCAGAGACAGGGAATGATCCCAAGCCTCTGGCCTTCCTCCACCCTGGTTTCCTCATCTTCTTGTCACATTTGCTCTTCAAAGGTCTGCATCACATAGGAACATGTAGTCAGGAAATACTTGCTGTGGAGGCCAGAGTTTGGAACCTTCACATCCGGGTCCAGATACATATTTGCCATAGCATGAGTGGTAGGTCTAGGGGCAAAAATCGTTTTTGCAGAAATAGCTCTGTATGGACATAAGCTTCTCCCTTTCTTCCTGTTAAAATGGGGTTGAACTCATCAGCTGACCTTGGGTTCTAGAAATCAATATGTCTGACAGTGTTAATGGTGTGAGGCAGGTTGTGCTCAGGTCATCTCTTCATACTTCACTGACACGTTCTCAGAGCCATGGAGACCCCTGCCCACCATCAGGAGAAGATGATGATTCATAAACTGCAGTAATGACTGTAAGACAGGCTGCACATCAGAGTCACCCAGGGGTTGTTTCTTCTGGATTAGTCATTCTGAATTGATAGTTTTAAATTATTTATTTAGTCCCCTGGTAAATATTAAAGTTGCCACAACTCCATTCCTAGAGATGACCACACCTCTCCCAGCTCCCCTTTTATTCCATCTTGGATGGGGGGCTACAGGGACATCACCCCCTTGGACAACATTGCCTGGAAGGCAAAAGATTCCAGGATGTCCTTCATGTACCCAAAGAATCTCTCTACATCATGAATCTGAGCCTGCCTCTCACACCAGTATTCAGCCTGTTTTTCTAAGGTCTTCACCACTCCTTCCAGGCTGGAGAACCTCTCCTTCATCTGGAAGAACTTAGTCAAAGACTCCTCTGTACTCAGGGCCTGGGGTCTCTTCCACAGCTTCCTCCCAGACCCCCAACTCATGCATTCAATTTCAATCTCTTCAAACGTTTGGTCTAGCTCCTCTTTTTCGGCATGATATCCTTTTCTCCCGAGGAGAACTCCACAAAATAGAAAGCTAACCTGGTGACAAGACAGAAGGACCTTAGGTTGAAATCCATCCCAGGCCAGTGAAGA